CGTGTGGCTCAGCTGGGATCGTCAGAAGCTTTTCAAGGCATTTTTTCTACAACCTCTTTGAAGAGGTAGAAAAAATGCTTTTAAAAGCCTCTGACGATCCCATGCTGAGTTGCCTGATCGTCAGAGGCTTTTAAAAGCATTTTTTTACAACCTCTTTGGCTGAAGAGATTGTAGAAAAAATGCTTTTAAAAGTTTTTTAAAAAAAAGTTGGCCATGCCCACCCAGTCACATTACCCCCCCACCAAGCCACGCCCACAGAATCGGTAGTAACATTTCACCACTGTCGTGCAGCCCCCCGCATGCATGCGCACCCCCCCTGCATACACACACACACACACACACACACACATGCACGGCAGAGACCCGATAACCAGCTGGCCAACGGGAGATGTGCATGCATGCGTGGCAGAGCTGAAGTGGGTTGACGGCTCGCGTGCCCACAGAAAGGGTGCTACGTGCCACCTGTGGCACACATACCATAGGTTCGCCAACATGGCTTTAGGCCAGTGATGGCTAACCTTTTTGCTGTTGTGTGCCAAAAGCGGGGGTCACACGGGGGGTGGTGTGCTTGCGTGCCCACACCCATAATTTAATGCATCCCGCACAAGCGACCCCCCCTGCTTTTGGCACGTAATGGCACAGTGGTCCCGTTTCTCACCCTCCCCAGGCTCCAGAGGCTTTCTAGGAGCCTGGGGAGGGCAAAAATTGCCTTCCCCAACCCCCCGGAGGCCAGAAATGGCCTGTTTCCTGACTTCCGGTGGGCCCAGAAGGCCCGAAAACTGGCCGGCACGCGCATGTGTGCTGGAGCTCAGCTAGGGCAATGCTCGCGTGCCCATTGATATGGCTCCATGTGCCACAGGTGACACACGTGCCATAGGTTCGCCATCATGGCTTTAGGCTGTTTTATAAGCAAAACAGGGTTAGTGCATTCTCCTTTTCGTTGCCCTGCTAAGGAAGTGGGGTGGATGTTCTGTCAGGCAAGATTCATCTCAAACACAATATATACCTGTACACATGAAATTTCTTCGTGAAATAACTTCCTCTTGAAACATCCCTGCCCCCTTGAATATTGTCCAGGAGGACAAAGAAAACAGCAACTCGCTTCACAGGGTTATTGTTGGGGTGAGAATAGGAGGAGAAAGAAATAGGAATAGTCCTCGACTTACAGCAGTTCATTTAGTGACTATTTGAAGTTACGACAGCACTGAAAAAAAGTGACTTATGACAGTTTTTCATACTTGCAGCATCCCCATGGTCACCAAAATTCAAACCCTTGGCAACTGGTTCATATTTGTGAGTCATAAGTGGCAGGAGATGGGTGGTGGGAACGTTGAGAAGATTAATAGTAATGCAGACTTAGTGAATAGTTTGACAGTGTTGAGGGAATTATTTGTTTAGCAGAGTGATGGCATTCGGGAAAAAACTGCCCTTGTGTCTACTTGTTCTGGTGTGCAGTGCTTTATAGTGTCGTTTTGAGGGTAGGAGTTGAAATAATTTATGTCCAGGATGCGAGGGGTCTGTAAATATTTTCACAGCCCTCTTTTTGACTCCTGCAGTATACAGGTCTTCCATGGAAGGCAGGTTGGTAGCAATTGTTTTTTCTGCAGTTCTAATTATCTTCTGAAGTCTGGGTGTGTTTAGTTAAAAGCAATATTTCTCCCAATTAAACTGGTCCGTTAAAATTGATTTCTACTGGGTTGTTTTTTTTTTCCATTTTCATACACTCCTCCACAACTGATTTATGTTAAACCAGTATTTTTTAATTGTACGTATTGCAGTTAAGTTATAGCTTTTGTGATAAAACCATAGCTGACTTAGAATTCTCATATTTTTTTAAAAAATACCAATATAGCTGCTCTATTTTAAAAAGATATATAGCAGCTATACAGATAGTCGGCTGGTTTAAGCAAGACGTTTCACTATAAATCCTTCCAGAAATATGACACTTTTAAATCCACAAACTATGCTTTCAAACGGGTTTTGTAAATATTGTACTCGTTATCCCCTAGAAGCAGGCAAGGTTAGGAAGCAGGAGTTGTTAGGAGTTTTCAAATTCAATTTATTGCAGTCACAGAGGATTTTTTTTATCAGAATCTTGAAAACCTGATAAAGCCCCTTTGCACTTTAACTTATACTTAACATGGTCAGGGAGAGTTATTTTGAGTATTTCTTACATTCTTCATTTTTTTTCCCCAGACTCGGTAATTTGTTCTTTAATGGCTCAGTGTTGCCCTCATTCCTTCTCTGCATTTCTCTGCTGGTAGAGCAAGTAAGATTACAATGATTCTAGACCAGTGTAACTTAATTTGGGCAGCTTTACTATATGTGGCCTTCAACTCCCAGAATTCCCCCAACCAGAATGCTGGCTGGGGAATGTTGGGAGTTTGAGTTCCACACATCTTAAACGACTCTCTCTATTGCTTTTGTGCAAATTCACATAAAGAAATGAATTGCAGCATACATGAGGAATCAAGTCAATTATGATAGTTCAGGTAGTCCTCGACAGTTTTTTTAGTGACCATATGACCATATGAAGTTAAGTGGCTTATGACCATTTTCACACTTAACGACCGTTGCAGCATCCCCATGGTCACATGATCAAAATTCAGACACTTGACAACTGACTCATATTTATGACAGTTGCAATGTCCCTGGGTCACGTGATTCCCTTTTGCAACCTCCTGACAAGCAAAGTCAATGTGGAAGCCAGATTCACTTAAGAACCGTGTTACTGACTTAACAACTGTGGCAAGAAAGGTCGTAAAACGAAAGGGGCAAATTTCACTGAACAACTGTCTTGCTTAGTAACAGAAATGTTGGCCTCAATTGTGGTTGTAGGTCAAGGACTACCTGTACCACAAATGTGTAGCCATTCGTCATTCTCGCATGGGGTAACTGCGATAGCTACAAAAATTGCCATGCTTTGGCCAGTTCACCCAGTCCATTGGCAAGAAAAGCCACTCTGCTACTATATACAGGGCAGTGGCCATATCCCATGTTGCACCCAAGTTCACATATTATCTAAGTGAAAATCTAAGTTTACTGGCAATCCGTATTTTGAACTGGCACGCTCCGTCTACAATGGAAATTATTGAACGAATGAAAGTCCAAACAAAGGGACAGAGCAATAATAAATAATTTTGCTTTGCTAACTTTGAACTATAACATATGTAAAGGGTCTAAGAGATTCTCAGTCATTCAGGTGATAGTTGCCTCAAATGTGGTTCTTATTTTTGAAAGGCAACTAGATTGATTTTTTTGAGGAGGAGGAAGGGAAAAAAAAGCTTTGCTTCCTATGCAGATATAACTGATGAAGCTTTCTGGATAGGAAGTGAAATGTTTTTTTATTCTATATATTTTATTTTTATTCTATATATTTTATTCTATATATTTTATTGAGATGAATACAGTTCATCTGTCTGGAACCCGCACTGCATATTGGACATAAATACAATCGAGAGAGTCCAGAGATATTTTACGAGAAGATTCCTCCATTCCTCTAACCGCAATAAAATACCTTATGCCACCAGACTCCAGATTTTGGCCTTAGACAACTTAGAACTACGCTGACTTCAGTCTGACCTAAGCAGAGTACATAAAATTATCTGCCACAATGTCCTTCCTGTCAATGACTACTTCAGCTTCAACCACAACAATACACGAGCAAATAATAGATACAAACTCAAGGTAAACCACTCCAAACTCGATTGCAGAAAATACGACTTCAGCAACAGAGTGGTCAATGCCTGGAATGCACTACTTGACTCTGTGATTTCTTCCCCAAACCCCCCAAAATTTAACCTTAGACTGTCTACTGTTGACCTCACCCCATTCCTAAGAGGTCTGTAAGGGGTGTGCATAAGTGCACCAGCGTGCTTATCGTCCCCGTCCTAATATTCCTTTTTACTTACTCTTTTCATGTATTCCAATTATATTTATACTTTTACCTGTTATCTTATATATGCTTGACAAATAAACTTATGATTATGATACGATTATGATGATTATTCTTCCTCCTCAAAATATCAGTTAGGTTGCTTTTTGAAAAATAAAAGGCACCTTTGAGGTAACATATATAAAGCCATATTATTTAATAAACCCTAATCAGTGAATTAAGTTAATTAAGTTGAAGAATACTTTCCTTTCTTTAATCAATATGTGATAAAAAATTTAGTAGTCTGTACTAGAAGGAGCTTACATTTTAAAACATAGGGAAATAGCTAAAGGAAAACAATGGGCATGGAAATAGAGATAAAAAGAGGAGAAACAAGGGAGAGAAATGCATTTATGTCGGGGATTATATTGTATTCAGGGTGGACAAATCTTTAAGTGCCCCTGTGTATTTTACATGTCGTATATAAGGATATTTGGGAGTATATTATTATAGTGGGGTTTGAGGCAGGGGTGGGTTCTAATTTTTTTTACTACCGGTTCTGTGGGCGTGGCTTATTTTGTGGGTGTGGCTTGGAGGTCATGTGACTAGGTGGGCGTGGCTAGCTGGTCAGAGTCATTTCTGGAAGGTCCTTGCACTTACGACCAGTCCTCGCACTTACGACCTGACTCATTTGTTTGCTTTTAACACTGATCAGCTATAGGACAGCCCTTTGAAGCCCCGTGGCAAGAGTTTAAACAATTTTTTCCCCTCTAGTCATCAGCTGGGACTCAGGAGGCAGCAATAGATTGGGGGTGGGACCAAATAAAAGGTAAGAATAAACGTGGGTGGGAGGGCGGGGGGGAAAACCGGTTCGGTGACGTCATATCGTCACCGCTACCGGCTCAGCCGAACCGGACCGAACCGGGAGGAACCCACCACTGGTTTGAAGGCTAAGAATTCGGGCCAAAGAGTATACATAAAGGATTATCATTGTGAAAGGATTTGATACCCTATAGCCTTCATGAATTTCTCTTCTGACTTTTGGTATAAAAAAAACTTATTTGCCAAATTAGACGATCAACACAATCTAACAGGTGGTCTGAAGAGGAAAGAATCAGGCAAAAAATATTTTCCAAAATTAAGGCATGTTTATCTGCATTTCTATCGGAATACTGGGTGGGAAAATAAGTTGCCAGCAGGAGATGCCAGTTTTCATTATGGGTCCCTACTGATTTTCTATTGCCGTTGTCATTTGATTTCTGATACTTGCTTCAAGACATGTCGTTACACAGCAGGCATCTGAGGGTGTTGGGCAGAAGATTTCCCCGGTAGCTTTCACACCAACTGCGGCAGAACCAACATAAATCAGTGAGAAAGAGTCAAGAAGTCCAAAAAGATATACTGCTACCACGCCAAAAGTGAGCTGTGCAGGAACACTCCAGTCTTAAGCCAAGGTGGCACAGTCGTTAGAATGCAGTACTGCAGGCTACTTCTGCTGACTGCTGTCTGACTGCAATTTGGCAGTTCAAATCTCACCAGGTTCAAGGTTGACTCAGCCTTCATCCTTCGGAGGTGGGTTAAATGAGGATCCAGATTGTTGGGGGCAATAGGGTGACTCTGTAAACCGCTTAGAGAGGGCTGTGAAGCATTCTGAAGCGGTATGTAAGTCTAAGTGTTATTGCTTAAGCATGTCAGTGGTTTACCTACTTGCGGTGGAGTGCTTTTTAACTGCTTAAATTTACTTTCTTGTTTTATATATTTGTGTGTGAATATGTTTGCGTATGGAGGAAGAGGCCATAGGGAATGACCAATGTTTGTGGCAAAGCATTTACTCTGCAGCCAGAAAGCTGATGGTCCCCTACCATTTCCAGTGAAAAGAAACAGTAGCAGATTTTGGTGGAATATACTACAGTCCTACCTCAGCACTTGACTGCTTAAAACTCGGCGAATTTGGTATTTGACGGGTTTTGAAGCAGAAATCTTGTCCCAGCACTCGTCTTTCTCCTGGTAGTCGATACATAAGGAAGAACTTGCTGACATTGGCTGCCTTGTGACATGCTATTTCTTTTGGCCGAAAATCAGGTAGTTTTCTTGGTAACTGTTGGTTTTAATATTCATCACGTCTTCTGGAATGAATTATGAACAAGTACTGAAGTACCAATGGGATGCAGTGGCTCAGTGGCTAAGATGCTGAGCTTGTCAATCGAAAGGTCAGCAGTTCAGCGGTTCAAATCCCTAGTGCTGCGTAATGGGGTGAGCTCCCGTTACTTGTCCCAGCTTCTGCCAACCTAGCAGTTTGAAAGCACGTCAAAAATGCAAGTAGAAAAATAGAGACCACCTTTGGTGGGAAGGTAACAGCATTCTGTGCACCTTTGGCATTTAGTCATGCCAACCACATGACCACAGAGATGTCTTTGGACAGCGCTGGCTCTTTGGCTTTGAAACGGAGATGAGCACGGCCCCCTAGAGTTGGGAACGACTAGTACATATGTACAAGGGGGACCTTTACCTTTATCTTACTGAAGTACCACTGTACAGAATTAATTAATTAATAAGACCGGGACTTATATTAATTTTTGGTCCAAAAGACGCATTGGGGCTTATTTTGGGGGAAATATGATACTAAATGCACCTGTGTGGCTGACGATCTTAACCGGGGCTTATTTTTTGTGGTAGAGCTTATATTATGAGCATCCTGAAATGCTTGGAAACTTTGGTGTGCAGGAACAGAGACAAGGCAGACCCTCCCTAGCCTTTCACGGGTATATCTAATAGCTATGCAGATTTGTGTTTTAATCTGGCAAGATTCCGGTGTGTAAGTGAGCAAGAATAAAGAAAGTAACTTGCTGAAAAGTAACTCCTGTCATTCTTACTTCCTTGAGTCTGATGTAGATAATGCAAAGACCTTTGTCTTTAATTCTGGCAAGAGAAATGAAGTTAGCCTAAGCCAATCGAAGGCAATGTTTATGTTAGTAAGCTACTAGAAGACAAGCTCTTGGGGTGAGGGGGGAATAAGGCTTGTGTTGGTGCCACACCTGTATAATCCTGTTTCCTATGTATTAGGTAAATAAATAGCATGTGTTTCCCTGAAAATAAGACCTCCCCAGATAATAAGCCCAATCGGGCTTTTGAGTGCATGCGCTAAAATAAGCCCTCTCTGAAAATAAGTGTCAACTTGCAAAGCTTTCAAGTTGCCATGAGCAGGAGGGAGGGAGAACTGAAGTGAATTCCATACATTCTTCCTGACCGCAATCAGAAGGAAGGTGTTAGATTTCACAGCTGGCCAAAGTGGTTAATTGGAGAATGTGATTTATGACATGGCCAGAGAGGAGGGGAGAGACAGGGTCATAGGGGAACGTAAATCTACGTGGGATCAGTTCTAACTGCATCCGAGTATTGCCGGAATGTTGCTCCTAATAAATGACTATATTTCCTTTGAAGTTTGGATCATGGCTCATGAATTAATTAGGGCATCTTTCAGAAACTTGACAATAAGCCCTCCCCAAAAATAAGCCCTTCCCGAAAATATTTAAATGCATGCACAGCCGGTCCCTGCCATTTCCTCTGGTTAGGGTTAGGGAGACAGAGCTGGAAATCAGGTAAGATGGCAAGAGGAACCCCGTCTTGCTCCACATGCCCCAAAATAATAAGACCTCCCTGAAAATAAGCCCTCCCCGAAAATATTTAACCACATGCGCAGCCTGTCTCCACCATTTCCTCTGGTTAGGGTTAGGGAGACAGAGCTGGAAATCAGGTAAGACGGCAAGAGGAGTCCCATCTTGCTTCACGTACCCCAAAATAATAAGACCTCCTCGAAAATAAGGCCAAGCGCTTATTCCGGGGTTCAAAAAAATATAAGACAGGGTCTTATTTTGGGGGGAACACAGTATGTAGGAAAAAAACCTATGGAATTGTTACTACTGAAACTATTTTGACCTTGAAAATATATTCGACTCAGAGAAAGAGTTCGATCCCCTGCTTATTGATGCCATACATCTTTGAACAAATAAAATATTTGCTCCATTGCTGAATTAATAAGTTTGGTTTTTTTTCCATTACAAGTGGAAATGAATGGTAGGTTTGGAGATATGCTACAGCCATGTTACATTTGATTTATTTAAGCTCAGGGCTCTGCATTATGTATCTTCAAGTGATATCTATCTGGGAACATGGCGTGCAACCTTTTGCTTGAAATGATGAGGCTCTCCATGATTGAAATATTCAATTTGATAGAAAAGGTCGGAGAATTCAGCCTGCCTGTGCTGCTTGTTGGGAATCTGCAGCTTCCAGCTTTAGGCACAGCTGCTCTTGATTGAAACAAGCTGATATAAGGAGTGGGGCAATGGGGGAGGATCTTGTTTACCCTTATTTCTTGTGCGTCAGATGCAACATTCATGAAGAATGCTAGCCACACATTAATGGAACAAGAGAGCCAATAAGTGCTAGACTCTCTCTAGTGGCTTTTTCTTTCCCTGGCCAAATGATTGAACCTTTATATTGTCACAGTTTTAAGGAGACTAAAGGGAATTCTGGAAAATGAGCCTCTCCTTTTCCAAGGAGAGGGGGAAAAAAAGCTTGAATATCTCCTGTGAGAATTGATGTTAAAAGTCACTAACAATAGTGGATTATTCGGCTGCTGAAATTTATGATGGTTACACCTCTGAAACAGGGGTGAAATGCTCCCAGTTCGGATCCATTCGGCTGAACCAGTAGCAATGGCGGCTGGTGGTTCAGAGAACCGGTAGCGATGGTGGCGTGAGGCTCCGCCCACCCGCCTGGTTGTTGTTACTTCCTGGTTTTAACCGGAGTAAAATTGATAGCCGGAGTAAAATTGTAAGCACAGTGTGGGTCACGTGGTTTTTTTCACTTATTATTATTAGCATATAGCATTGTTACATTAGCCACGACACTGTAGTGCTATTGCAGAGTAGTAGTTCAGTTGCCTGTTTACCAGCTCTGTCAGGTACACGCTTGAGTGCTTCCCAAGATGCAAGCTAGCTTCGCACCAGAAAGAAAGATGAATGGCTCTTTGTGCAGCATCATCAAAGTCCCCCTTCCTTCCCCCAGAGCTGCCTCAGAAAAGGGCGTCGCAACCAGGAAGGTTCAGAGCCGGCAGGAATCTGACTGCCTGTGCAGAGCACCAACTCGTCTCTCCATTGAAGTGGTACCTATAAATCTTGTTGCATATAACATGCTTTCAAACTGCTAGGTGGGCAGAAGTTGAGGCAAGTGATGGGAGCTCACCCTGCCACACAATGCTAGGACTCAATCTGTTGGAGCAGAGACCATCTCTAGCATCATTAAGCCACTGAACCACTGCACCTTTGTTCGCTTAGCTTGGCTTAACAACTGAGTTGCCAGCCTCAATAGTAGTCACTTGGTGTATTTTCCTAAGCTGTATTGATGCATATTTATTCAAATAAATTGGGATAAGTCTCGGAAGGAAAATAGAGCTATTGAAGAAATGCAAAATTCTATTTCTTTTTTTTTGGAAAAAAATATTGGAAGTGAATCAAACTCAGGCAATGATATTTGAACGGGAACGCTACAGGTTAATAGTTCTTCTATTGTCATTTTCTTTTTCTTGTTTTGTTTTAGTGCTGCATATGATGCTGTACTGGACAGAAATGTGGCTATCAAGAAGCTCAGCAGGCCATTTCAAAATCAGACACATGCTAAGCGGGCGTATAGGGAGCTAGTTCTCATGAAGTGTGTGAATCACAAAAATGTAAGTATTCCTTTGCTGAAAGGGACTCAGAAGCCTGTATAGTTCTAAGTTTTTCACTACTAAGTGAAAAAGATTATGCTAATACGTTGCTGCAAAGTTGACTGTCTAACCTTCATTATTTTAAATGCAAAATTCTATAGGCAGGGGTGGGTTTCATTTACCTTTGCTACCGGTTTGTTCACGCACGTGTGCTCGCTTCGCTCACGCGCGCACCACTTCTGCGCATGCGCAGATCATATTTGATGATGTCCGGATGGGTGGGCGGAGCCTCCCGCCGCTGCTACTACCAGTTCTCCCAAACCAGGGCGAACCAGTAGCAACCCACCACTGCCTACAGGGCTTTGTGTACCATCAAATGTTAATTTAAAAAAAAAAAAAACTTCTATAGATTTGGATAGAATGCTGAAATGCAGATGTGATCACAGATGCTTTATTCCCTTCCCAAAGCAGATGTCTAGGAAAGAGCACCACATACACATTTTCTTTGTGGCAAGAAGAAAATGTTATTATAGTACAGCCATGGAGCAGCATATTTGATTATGCTTTCAGTATGGAGATTCGTTCTCCTTTAAAGTTAATGGAAGTTCTCCAGAGAAGAGTGAAAAACCTATGTTGACTCTTAGCGACTGCCTGAATTAGTCCCTGCAGTTTTCTGGGCAATATTTTTGGAAGTGGTTTGCCCTTGCTTTCTTCCGAGGGAGAGCAACTGAATAGAATTGGGATTAATACTAAGGACAAAAGTTATTCATGAGCAATAAAACAGCCGTGAAATACATCCTGCCTTCATTTAGATCACAAAATATTTGAACCATTCTCCCTAAGTCTTTCCTTTACAAAATTTAGAAAACAATGATTCAGGGAACTAGGTGTTGTCTAGTCTGACAGAAAAGAAGGAATAGGAGTGATGTGATAGCTGTCTTCCAATAGTTGAGATGCTGTCATAAAGAAGAGGAAGACAACCTATTTGTCAGCATTCTGATGCTGCCATAAAAAGGAGGAGACGAGGCTTGACTTTTCACCTACTTATTTTCTCTGTAGATAATATCCCCTAGGTCCAGGAGATGGGATGGGAGGGGGACATTCCTGTGGGTTGAGGTCAGAAGCTGGGGAGACTGACTTGGAAGATGGCCAATGAGAAGATGAGAATTGGGGAACGGAAAGGGAAGGGTTTGGGGGTCAGAGGTTAGTATTGGCTACGACGAAGTCGGGGCCAGATCTGTCGTACTCAATAAATGGAATATTTCAGCAAAGATTAATTGTTTGGGAGTGCAATTTATTTGAGATGACATCAAAACCTGACACTATTCTCCAAAGTACCTGAAGGCAGGATGAGAAGTAACAGGTGGAAGATCATTAAAGAGAGATCCAATCTGGAACTAAGGAGACATTTTTCTGATAGTGAGAACAATGAATCAGTGAAATGTCTTACCTCCAAAAGTTGTTGGTGCTCCATCACTAGAGGTTTTCAAGAAGAAACTAGACAGTCATTTGTCTGGAATGATATAGGGCAGAGGTGTCAAACTCAATTCCATTGAGGGCCGCATCACGGCTGTGATTGACTTTGGGGGGTGGATGGATGGGCATGGCTGGCTGGCTGGGTGTGACCAAGTGGATGGGCGTGACCAACTTGATGCCACTCACTGGGCATGGCCAACCCCTAAACATCTGTCCAGTTCTAATAGAAATTAAGTACCAGGACAAAAGGAGGAACATATATAATCAGGATATCAAAATTAGCAGTCTTAAGGAAGAAGAACAAAAGTGAAATAAACATAACTCTGTGGGTTTTATTTTCTGAACTCCTGTCAAATTCTCTAGTCTGAGTTTGTGTGGTGTCATTTAAATACCTGAACCTCAATTTTACTCTATAGTTGTACAGCCTACTATTAGCACTTTATCAACCTCATCCCCAGATTTACCTTGACAGTGGAAAAAACAAATTGTCACATATCCATATTTATTTATTTATTTATTTATTTATTTATTTATTTATTTATTTATTTATTTATTTTATTCAATTTGTATACCGCCCTTCTCCTAGTGGACTCAGGGCGGTGCACAGCCAGGACTAAAACACATACCAATACAAAATTTAAAATTATTAAAAGAATTACATAACTTTGGCCCAAATTTAAAACAATTCAAATTAAAACCCATTGACAATTTAAAAAGCTAAAAAACTAAAAAAAGACTAAAAAGGGGGGGGGGGTTTCACGCCAGCCCTGCTTGATGGAAAAGAAAAGTTTTTAGGGCACAGCGAAAGACCCGGAGATCCGATATCCTTCGTATCTCCGGGGGCAAATCGTTCCAGAGGGCAGGAGCTGCCACAGAGAAGGCCCTCCCCCTGGGGGTTGCCAGCCGACATTGCCTGGCTGACGGCACCCTGAGGAGTCCCTCTCTGTGGGAGCGTACTGGTCGATGGGAGGCTTTTGGTGGCAGAAGGCGGTCCCGCAAATACCCAGGTCCTATGCCATATCCACACCATCCAGCCTTTGTCTTTAATATCAGCTGCTAATGTTAACTTTCAAGACCTCTCTGACAACAATTTTGGCTGACAACAAAATTGAAAGATAGATCTCAGCAGATTTAGGCTTTAAATTTACATTTGTTGGGTATATCCTTCAGTCTTATTTTATTTTTTTATTTTATTAGTCATATTTCTATGACGCCCGCTGTCCGAGGACTCTGGGCGGCTTACACCAAAGACAGTCTACTAAATAGCATATTGCCCCCAACAATCTGAGTCCTCATTTTACCCACCTCAGAAGGATGGAAGGCTGAGTCAACCTTGAGCCGGTGAGATTTGATCCGCTGATCTGCTGAACTAGCAGTCAGCTGAAGTAGCTGCAGTACTGCACTCTAACCACTGCGCCACCTCAGCTCTCTTTTTTTAGTCTTGCTAGATACATCCTTCAATCTAGTTAAACGTAGGAATTCAAACGCGGCAATAGCAGCAGAATCCTATCTAAAGTTAGTGGCAGCTAAATTAGTAACTGCAGTAGAAGTCAATATTTTAGCAATGACCCTTTTGTTTTAATAGGCAACCTGCCATTCTTCAAAAGGTTCTCTGTTTCCTCTAAGCTTCTGATCCCTGTTTAAAATTTCAGAGTCATTTCATGGTTTTGCAAATTTTACCTGTCCTCCCACTGAGACTGAAAATGAAGTCAACAGAACTCTTAGCTAGGAAGAAAACATTGTTGAGATTTTTTACGTTTCTTTTTACTGCATAGGATAGTGGAAACAGTGGAAACAGTGAGGCAGTCTGTGTTAACCTGATCAACCATTAATATTTAATTATTCTTTTCTCTCCCTTTTGTCTCTTGTTGCGTTTCAGATTATCAGTTTATTAAATGTCTTTACACCACAGAAATCTCTGGAGGAGTTCCAGGATGTGTAAGTAATGCAGTCAAGAGAGAAACTTTGCTGTGAGGGAGGGGTAGTAATCGCTTTGGTATCTTCCAGGGAAAACTAAAAGCTAAGAACAACAAAATATAAAAAGCTGCTCTTTCTTAGAAACTGCTTAAGGAGCAGCTCAAGGCAATCTTGAGTTTTGCCGATTCTAGGCTTCTACTACTTTGGGTATTTCAGAAATCAATTACAGCTTGATGTAAGAATAGAAAAATAGAGAACGGCCACTGAGAATCCTAATAGAAACAGTTGAGCAAATGTATAAATCAGCTACAGGGAATGAGGAAGAAAAATGAATACAGGACACATACATAGGCAATGGCTCCCAGGAATTTGATTTAATTGCTTTGTGATGGGACTTACTTCTGAATTTCCTGAGATATGCAGGATTTTGAAAGTTTGGCAATTCACCTTTAAGTCATCTCACTTTAAGAGAAAGAAAAAGAGTAAAATGAAAAGTGAAACACTTTCTTTCATTAGAAAGAATATGATAACCCATGGCTCTAAAATTATCTGACAGAAAAAAAATATTAATATTTCTATTGAACATTATTTTCTCTTTCTTGGCACATAATCAAATCTGAGTAATCTATAAATTAATTTGTTGTCCTCACTTTGTATCTTATGATGAGAGAAGGCAAATCTTGACTGGACAACCAATTCCTCTCCCAAATATTTTGAACACATAGTTATTTTAAAATCTACCAAATTTCAGATTATATATATATATATATATATATATATATATATATATATATATATATGATAATTAGCGCAATAAGTCAAAGATTTAATGAGATGTGTGAACTTACTCCATATATACCTAAACAAAGCAAAAGGAAACTTATAGGCTTGTTACAATAATTATTGCAGTAAAAATATATTTAGGATTAGAAATAAGGCCAAAATTCACAATCTAACCTTAGATATATCTATTTAAACAATGCAGGTGACAAAGATGTTGCCAGTCAGAATTTGAAATCACATATTGTTCTAACTCTTGATTTGTTTATTAAAGAAACTAAGTTTTTCAAGCTTAATGTTAAGCCATAAACTATTCTTTATAAGGTATGATTAACATATATTATCATTTGGTGACTGAGGACAAGCAATTTGCCAGTTTGGTCTAGTGCAGGAGTTGGCAACCCTAAACACTCAAAGAGCCACAAAGGTCCTAACCGGAAGCCCCCCATTCAATTCTAGAGCCGACCGGAAGTCCGGTTCCCCCACCATACAGTCTCCTCCTAGTGCGGCGTTCTTTTTTCTCTACCAGTCCTAACTGAAAGCCCTATCAATTGTGGAGCTGACCGGAAAACCCGCCCCTTGCCATAGACTCTCCTCCTCGCAAGCCCTGCTTCCCTCTCCCCCAACCAGAAGCTCCTCTCAAAATTGTGGTGCTGACCGGCGACAGAGAGCCGCAGCAGAGGGATGAAAGAGCTGCATGTGGCTCCAGAGCTGCAGGTTGCTGACCCCTGTTCTAGCGGTTAAGGAACTAGGCTAGAGAGCAGAAGACCATGAGCCTTTGTCATGAAAGCTAGGTGCAGACGGTGAGTTCTAGTCCTGTCTTAGTTATGAAAGCTGATTTAGTGACTTTGGGCCAGTTACCAGTAAATAGTGAATTCTAATTTCATCTCAGTCTTGAAAGCCAGCTGAAGGACTTTAGACCATACACTCTCTCTCAGCCCAACTCACCTCACAGGGCTGTGGTGAGGAGGATAGGAGAAATGGATGGAGGAAGACATGTTGGATATAGTCAGTGCCTTGAATATATTTGTATTAAATAATAAAGGTGGGATACAGACAAACATAGCTCAAGCAATATATGAGGAAAAATTTGATGGTTTTATCAGGTATTTGTGAAAGGTTGAAATTGTAGAAAGGAATGCTACACCGGAAGCATCTCACAGATGCCAAAGAGTGATGATGTCACTTTGTTCTCCTGTCTAGTTATTTAGTAATGGAGTTGATGGATGCCAATTTGTGCCAGGTGATTCAAATGGAATTAGATCACGAGAGAATGTCTTACCTGCTCTATCAGATGCTGTGTGGTATCAAACACCTTCACTCTGCAGGAATCATTCACAGGGTAAGCCAGCCTCTCTCTATGGAAGTAAGAACGATTTCCCCACAAGAATGAAATGAAGAAAATTATGAATGTTACCCTTGTGCATTCTTTATTATTCGTGGACATGCCCATCTCAAGCTTTTATTGTACTTCTATCATAGCCAGAAACACCGGAATGAGCAGCAGTGTAGATTTCAAAGCCCAAGAGGGGAGCACATGGAACTCTAAATCTGTTGTTTGCATCCCTGAAATCTATTGTAACTACATTTGCTATGGTAACAAGTTTTTTAAGATAGAAAACATGCAAAAGTACAAGTCCTGTTGTTTTAGAAACTAAAGGGAAAGCCCCCTCATCACCCAAAATCCTCTAAAATAATCAATAATATTGAAAATCCTGGTCTGCGAGACCATGTCAAGAAATTAATCCCACAGGAAGACTAAAACTATATTTTTGAGATTGTCTATAACAAAGATTGTCTATAAACAAGGGACACGGTGGCTCAGTGGCTAGGATGCTGAGCTTGTCAATTGAAAGGTCGGCAGTTCAATGGTTCAAATCCCTAGTGCCGCGTAACAGGGTGAGCTCCCGTTACTTGTCCCAGCTTCTGCCAACCTAGCAGTTTGAAAGCATGTAAAAAATGCAAGTAGAAAAATAGGGACAAGCTTTGGTGGGAAGGTAACAGCGTTCCATGCGCCTTCGGCGTTTAGTCATGCCGGCCACATGACCACGGAGACGTCTTCGGACAGCGCTGGCTCTTTGGCTTTGAAACGGAAATGAGCACCGCCCCCTAGAGTCGGGAATGACTAGCACATATGTGCAAGGGGAACCTTTACCTTTACCTATAACAACATTTTGCAAGTCTCATTGTGGCTATACCTCCACCCCTTCACTCCAATGAGTCTGGAAGGCATCTACCTGATTCGCTTCCAAGCACTGTCTCATTTCTCAGCTCTTAATAAGTGTTTCAGCCCCTTTTGCCTAAAAATGGATCTTGCGTATTTCCATCAATGCCATCTTCCTTATTGTCTACCTGGTTCCAGTTAGGGGTTATGACACTGTCAAAAGCCAGGGAAATCAGGAGACTCAGGCAGTTCAAATGAGTTTGTGACCTTAAGCTCTCTATAAAAATCTGAGCTACTAACGGTCAAGGGAAATAACGGGAATAACAGGCATTCAAAGTGGGCTTAGGTCTCTTGCGGGTGCGTAGGTACTCATGACTTACGATGCGTTTGACCTTTCCCTTGGGCTCAGTCTGGTCAACTCCTACAGACACAAACACAACCATTTTGTTGCATCACTGGCCCATTATTGATGCTCTCAACTGTCCCCAAAAATGTTAAATGAGGTCCTTGGGTGGCCATCAAACTTTTGGCGATCGCTGAAATGCTGATTACCTTCCTTGCCTCAGCAATAAATCATCTTCAGCCAGCTGTAAGCCCTCTTGGGTCTTCCATTTCACACTCTTTTCCCACAATAGACAAAAACCAATGATATTGTGGGTGTGAGACTAATGCCTATCCCTTTCTCTCTCTGTTGCATCTCTTTCAGGATTTAAAACCAAGTAATATTGTGGTAAAATCGGACTGTACGTTGAAGATCCTGGATTTTGGACTGGCCAGGACTGCAGGCACTAGCTTCATGATGACACCCTATGTGGTCACACGCTATTACAGAGCACCAGAAGTCATCCTGGGAATGGGCTACAAGGAGAATGGTAGGACATATAAATATGGAGAAAATTGGGACTGTCAGTTGTCTAGGGAAGTAAGTTGTCAGTTGTCTAGGGAAGGAAAGGAGGAGCAAAACCAGATCTGGATAGGATCTGACTTTGCAAATGTCGTTTGATGAAGCCAACATGAAAACAAAAAAAACTTTACTATCTTACACAAGTAAAGGATTGCAATACCATCAATTCCAGATTCAACAGACTGTAGGGGAGAATTTGCAAGTCCTAGGTCTTATATTAAAAGCCATAACCACTGGGCATCTTATTTGTCAATTTGAGAGTAGAAATAACATGTCTATTGAATTCCCTGCTAAATTACTACAAGAAGAGTTACTAAAGATAAGAGTATGGTGCAATTAAGAAATAACATTGGATGCCATCCAAAACAATGTTATAATGCTACACAATACACCTCTCAACCTGAGATATAAAGAGCTAATTTAGATAAATATACGGCCCTTCTATGTACGAGGACTGTTCCGATCTAAGATTAGTGTTGTGTCCAAAGGTGCCTATAATGCTGCCAATCTCTAAGGGTTCTTCAGCAGCTGAGATGATTAACTTCTCCAGTTAGCTGCTGAGCCTGAAGATTTTTTTTAGCAGTTTTACAGCATTTATTCCTGGCATGTTACTGATGGCAGAAACGTCTGCGTTTAGGTTTTCATTTTTTCCCCTAGCAAATAATACCACAGCATCTTGATATAATATTCTTCTCATTTAAAAAAAAAAACACCAAGCTTTGTTTCACTATCCACAAAGCCGTTTTTCAATGCTGCAGAAGGAAATGAAGAAAGAATAAGGATTGGGAGCAAGGGGGAATTAAGCTGTAATCTCCACCTTCTTGACTTCAGGGAACAGCGGCTGTGGCAAGGTCACAAATGTGATGGCACAAAATTTCTGCAGAGTAAGAAGGAAAGCCCAAAGGCGGCATGAAGATGAACTCGTGTTAGAGCAAAAGAGCAGCCTTTGTCTCTGCCACATTTCCAGCCTTCTAATCTTTACTGGATTCAAAGCATGTCCTTATTAATCCTTCCCTTCTCCAAATTGGCCTTCATCAACTACTTTTGCCAAACTCGGCAGAGGTATGGAGGCTTCAGGCCTAACCCAGGGGTGAAATCCAGCAGGTTCTGGAAAACCGGTAGCGGAAATTTTGAGTAGTTCGGAGAACCGGCAAATGCCACCTCTGGCTGGCCCCAGAGTGGGGTGGGAATGGAGACTTTTCAATATCCTTCCCCCAGGATTAAGGAGGGAATGGGGATTTTGCAGTATCCTTCCCCCGGAGTGGGGTAGGAATGAAGATTTTGCAGTATCCTTCCCCTGCCACTCCCACCAAGCCACTCCCACCAAGCCACACCATGCCCACCAAGCCACGCCCACAGAAACAGTAGTAAAAAAAAATGGATTTCACCACTGGCCTAACCACAATGCAGTTACTTTGATTTAGTGTAAAAAAAATATAATGGCATGATTTATATCACACAGTTGATTGATTCACACATACACTAACTCCAAAGCAAGCAAAGGACATGATGGGTTTGCTGAGGCATTTGGCTTTTTTAAATAAATAAATAAATAAATAAATCTGTGACTCCTTTCCTCCCATTCCTTTCTGGTAGAAAGTTTAATCTAGAACAGAGGTGGGGAACGATGGTCCCTTCATGACTTGTGGGCTTCAACTACAGAATTCCTGAGCCTGTTGTTGTGGGCCGCCAGCAGCCAGCAGAGCCGGCAGCAGATTCGGACAGTGAGGAGGTTGGGGAGGAATGTGGGCCAGTCCTGGAGTCTGGGGAAGGCTCGGATGGATGGCTTTGAGTCAGACACAGAGAGGGCCAAGGCCATCTGGTAGTTCTTTGCTGCCTCCGGAGTCTCCGGAGTCTGACATCAGCAAGGCAGAAGAACAGCGTGAGCCTATTCCCAGTGTGTGCATGCTCAGAGCTGCCAGGAGACAGGAACAATTAAGGAAACAGGGTTGACTTGGGAGTAAGGCTTGGAGATAATTGGCCCTTCCTATAACACATAAAAGAGAAGTGAACGGGATGTGAGCTTTTGCAGGAAGCAATTAGTTCATCTGGTCAGTAAAAGCTCTGGAAAAGCTCTGTTTGACTCTGTGCTAAATTTGGCCTTGCCCTGCATTTGGCAATCAGTTCTCTGGCAGCATTCCAAGGGAGATAAGGTGAGTGTTTGTAAACACTCCCCTGATAGACTTTTGAGAAGCCTTTCAGACTGGGAATGACAATAATCCACAGCCGTTTGAATTAAAGAGGTTTGCCGGGACTAAGTTTGTGCTGTTTACTTTCTAAGGAAGCCTAGGTCAGAAGACCTGTATGGCCGGCTCAGGAATTCTGGGAATTGAACTCCACAAGTCATAAAAGGGCCATTGTTCCCCATCCCAATCTAGAAAGAGGGGAGGTCTATTAAGATCAGAGCAACAAAAAAGCCATTTTGGCAACACTTCTTTTGGAGCAATATTTGAACTTTAAGTTTCTCAACTCAGCTGTAGAAAACCTAAAATCCTCTTTTATCATAAAAATACAGCATTGACTTTCGGTGAGTCCAGTTTGATGCTACCATATTAAAAAAAAAATGAAATAATGAATGTAGTCCTTATATTTAGGTCCCTAGGTGACTGGAGAAGATAGTAATGTGAAAATTGTACCCTACTATACCATAATTCTGGGACGCGGTGGCTCAGTGGCTAAGACGCTGAACTTGTCGATCAGAATGGTTGGCGGTTCGAATCCCTAGCGCCACATAACGGAGTCAGCTCCCGTTACCTGTCCCAGCTTCTGCCAACCTAGCAATTCGAAAGCATATAAAAATGCAAGTAGAAAAATAGGGACCACCTTTGGTGGGAAGGTAACAGCGTTCCGTGCGCCTTCGGCATTTAGTCATGCCGGCCACATGACCACGGAATTGTCAACAGACAGCGGTGGCTCTTTGGCTTAGAAATGGAGATGAGCACCACCCCCTAGAGTTGGGAATGACTAGTACGTATGTGCGAGGGGAACCCTTGCCTTTACTTTATACCATAATTGTGCAATTTTCTTTTTTTTTTTTAAAAAATGGGGTGGATAGAGTTGGGGAGGAAACTCTTCTAGCCCAAATGCTAACAAGAGAAGGTGATTATTTTGTTGTGCTCAATTCTTTTTATCCTACCAAGCATTTGTGTGCTTAAAAAGAATCCCTGCTAATAGTACATAATTATGATATGATTGCATAAATGACATGGATCAAGGCTGCAAATAAAACAACAGAAATGCATTCATTAGATTGCTACTTTTGCTGTTTTGCTAAAAAAAAATTAAGATGAGAATACCTTGTGTGTGTTAAATGTAATGAGGAATTTCTGCATCTTTGAAAGCCTTCCCTTTTAAGTTGGGGAATCCAATTAGCATCCTGCAGCTCTTTTAACTGACATTTGACTACAATCTGCAAGCTGACATTTAGTAGCTGATTTTTAGCCTGATTTCTCCATTGCTTAAATTGGATAAAACTGTGGGCTGCTTTTAAAGTACGCCTTGTATGTGCTATTTCAAACTGTCAGTTGTCCTAAAAGTAATTCTAGTTGCAGTTAGTTATCAATAGAACTCACTTAGATTTTTTTAAAAAAATGATATATATATATTTTTAAAAAATGATAATAAAGGATGAGATGCTTTGGAAATCTTCTTATTCAGAAGTTTTATAATAGCCAACTGGGAAAAAAGGCGAGTTCAAGTGTTGGTTTTGATTTAGAATGTAAGCTCTAATGAAGCACAGTGCCAGGTTTTCAGGCGGTCTTCAAATAAATTGCATCGCAAACAAAGTCTTTTATAAAACAAATTTCCATTTTATTAAGCATAGCACTTTTTACACCGACTCGTTGCAGCCAGCACTGACGTGCTGCCCCAAAACCCCTCCTCTTCCTTCCCCCGCTCCTCTGCATTCATTGGCCATCTTCCCAATCATTCACCCCTAATCTACTGCTCCAATTCAAAGAATTTCCCCCCTCCCATCCATCTCCTAGGGGACATTATCTCCAGAGGAAATAAGTAGGTGAAAGGCAACCGTCCCGTTGCAGACGCCTGCATTCTCCTTCTTATGTCAACACTAGGATAAATGCATCTTGACGTGCTGACACACAGGACTTATTAAGACTTATTAAGGACTTATTAAGTTTCTGTGGATAGGGCAGTGATGGCTAACCTTTTTGCTGTCGCGCGCCAAAAGCGGGGGGGAGCACGGGGGTCACGTGCGTGCATGCCCACACCCATAATTCAATGCCCCCGCAAGCATACGCACACGCCCCCCCTGCTCCCCCTGCTTTTGGAACGCGATGGCAAAAAGGTTACTGGTGGGCCCAGTAGGCCTGTTTTTCGCCCTCCCCAGGCTCCAGAGGCTTTCTAGGAGCCTGGGGAGGACGAAAATGGCCTTCCCCCACCCCCCCGGAGGGCCTCCGGAGGCTGGAAATGGCTCATTTCCCGACTTCCGGTGGGCCCAGAAGGCCCAAAAATCAGCTGGCTGGTGTGCGTATGCGCGCTGGAACTGAGCTATGGCATATCTGTGCCCACAGATATGGCTCCGTGTGCCACCTGTGGCATGTGTGCCATAGGTTTTCCATCACGGGGATAGGGTACATGAGGACATAATATAGGAAATCTACACTGGATCAGACAAAAAAAAAAGGCCAAATAATAATTGGCAAGCATAAGAAACTACAAAAACGCATGAGTATGATGTCATTTTCCATTCAGGTTGCCAATGTGGTCTTCCTTTTCCACTGAACAGAATTCAGACATCCCTCTGAACTAAAACATCTACTAGAACTTCCTCAAGAAATCCATGATCAGGCTCGTTAGTCATTCCTGTGATAGTTAAAATTAATTGATATATTTCACATAGGCAAAACTAGACTAAGATATCGTGCAATCAATAATCCAGTAATTTTGCTGCTTGGTGAAAGTCAAATGAGAAAGGAATACATCTATAAATGGGGCTACAGACTATTGTCATGTGAGAAAATAATTTCAGATTTTGGATTCCCGGAACATTGTAGATATAATAGAACCATTGTAAGAAAGAAGAGACACAGATTTTATTTTTAATTTTCCTTCTAAATTTAAAATATCAGGAAATCATCTTAAATTTTTGGAAGGAACGTCATTTATTTTAAATTAATGTCCATCCATTGTGCTATCTGCCTTTTAGGGCCACTCCATGCTTTCATTTTTCTCCCAATCCAAGTTTATGGATAATATATTTTACCCTTGTTTGCTTACCTCCTGTTCCCAAGATTCCTAAATTACTGTTCCCTTTAAAATACTGGTCCAATATATTGGACTTGCTTTTTCAGACATCTTGTCCTCTAAATGAAACATTTTATACAGTATTTGTTTTGGTTAATAAAAAGAATAGCTTGGGTCCACAGCAATTTGTTTCTTTGTCACAGATACAAAAAAGAGAAGCAGAAAGGAAAAGAAAATAGATTTGAAGAGAATTAGAAAATTATTACTAGGCAAACCATGGATGATACTGGATAGAATAAGAACCCACCTTTTTCATGATGGGTTCATATTGCTAAAATGGTTGGATTTAAGCTTGAATATTAAGTTGTGTGTGCGCCTGTAATAAACAACAACACGCGCACAATATTACTTATAACTGGGAAAGTGTGACATCTGCAAGTTGAAGGACTCTCCAAGTCTTAACATTTGGACTCTGCCAGTACCCAGCAGTCATTGCAATTGCCTCCCCATTACAGAGAAAAGTAGCCAACAGGATAGGATAAAATTAATAAGCAAAGGAATCTATGACACGAGTGTTAAGCTCGCTGCATCATGTTGCTGTCACATGACATTTTGCAACATTTTTCCCATTCGCGAGCTGGGGTGGGCGTGGCCTGTGCATGATGCATCTGGCCCGCGGCTGCCAGTTTGACACACCTGATCTATGACTATCCTAGGTTGAGAAAACCATGTTATATCTCCAGATTGTAAAAAGTATTTGTATAATGACCCTCTTTAACAGGGATCTCCGAACTTGGCAACTTTAAGACATGTGGACTTTAACTCCCAGAATTCCCCAGCCATCATGGCTGAATGAGGAATTCTAGAAGCTGAACATCCATAAGTCTTAAAGTTGCCAAGTTTGGAAACCCCTGCTCTATAAAATCATCATCATCATCATCATCATCTATACTATAAAAATAATGTTGGTTAGAGCTCAATTCCATACTGGCAATGCCTTTAACTAGGTATAATTTTCCAGGATAAACCATGTTAAGATAAAAATGGTAAGGAGGCTTGATAGTGATAGGACATGCTAGTTTCAGTTGGAAGCAAAACTACTGGCACCAATTGGGGTACTTAAAACTGACTCAAAATGGAAGCCATGTCTTTCTTGAGGAATGTGGTAGGTACCATATATCGGACACTTCCTCCATGTAGTTCTATCATTGCTAAATATACTGATGTAGAGGTTTTTTTTGGCCTTATATCTAACACAGATAGAATGATGAATAATTACTCCATCATATTTCACATGTCCCTTAAATTTCTTTAAACTGGATCATGGGCAATTCTTTCGTTGTCTAACTGCCTGGCCCCTGTATTTTTCTTCTGTAATTATGGACTTGGGGCTCAGTTGGAGCAGCTACCGGTATTAATGAAAAATTACTTGGGGGAAGAATAGAAAGAAATATTAGAAATAATACCAGGCTCTTAATTAAACTCTGCTTCTCATGATAACTTTACCTAAAAATATATCCATAGCAAAAGTTGTTCCTGTATTTGTCTTATAGCTAGTCATTTCACCTTAAAACAATGACCTACTATGGAATATCTCTTGATTTAGTCTTCAACTGAACATTTTGAGGAGTTCCAGTTTTCTTACTGATTAAAAGTATTGCTGATTTTGGGTGTGAGTGACCGACGGGGGGAAGATTTAGTGTTGATTTGCCTTCTGTCTTTGTTCCTTCCCAAGGACCACTTGATAATTAGTTACCACTCATACAATGAACCTGAAAAACAGATCTAAAGTATTGTATTTTCTATAAATCTCTCTCTGTCCATTCATGACCTACTTCGTGGGTCCTTTTAGGTTTCTCTGTTGCGATCAAAGAACCGCCGCAAACATTTTGAAAGCAATCCATCAGTTGAAATACAAAGCAACCCACCCATCCCTCAATGTTTATAAAATCTCTCTCTATGTCTAATAGGATGACCTTACCAGATTAGCTGAGCCCTTTAAAACACTGAATCTCATCAGCTGCATGCTCCTTTGTGGACACATAAACTGAAAGGCTCCCATACTGTGGCTTATTCCTGTACAGTCATCATTCTGAGAGTAAGACAATAAAAAAGGGTTGAGAAGAAACAAGGTGATTATAACTTGTTGGCTGTATACAGTAGTGGCCAAAATTGTGGAAACCTTTTGGGGAAAGTGTATTTTTGAGGTTTGATGGCTAATAACACCAATTTTGGGGGGGAGTTTCAAGATAATCATATTCCACTGCTGGAATGGCCTGGGAATAGCCCAGATCTTAACCCAATTGAAAATCTATGGAGCTGACTAAAGAAACTTGTTAGTCAGAAGCGTCCCAGCAATAAAACCCAATTAATAGAAGCAATCATTCAATCTTGGTTTCACATTATAACAGCTGCAGAACTGAAAGACTTGGTTAACTCCATGGGAAGACATTGTAAGGCCGTCATTCTTGCTAAAGTTTACCCAACTAAGTATTAACTGACATGGTGATAATTTTTGTATATCTCATTTTTTCTATGGTGATCATTTTGGTATATCTCGTTTTTTCTACATATTTCACTTTTCCTCTTTATACTGTCACTGCTATTCTAATAGCAAATCCTTCATAAAAGTTATTGCATTACATTCTTGATTAAATTATCTTTCCATTGATATATAATTTTACAGTACTACTCCAAAAAAAAAAAGAAAGTGGTGTTATTAGCTAGTTTTAGAAAATACACTTTTCCCAAAAGGTTTCTACAATTTTTGCCTCTACTGTAATTTATAGGCATTCCTAGCAAGTGGCAGTATACTAAAAGAAGAGTCTTTGAATAGCCTTAAAAAAGGACTTAGGACATCATCCCCGTATTGCTTATCCAGATATATAAAACAGTCTGACTTAGAGATTGTAGTAGCTGGAAACGTAAAATGTGGCTTGGAAACGGGACTCCACGTAAAGGCTATTAGGAAACATAGCGGGAATCAAAAGCTCATAAAAGATTCCTTTTTTTACTACATCTTTACCACACGGCAACCATTGACCCAGTTTTTATTTAATCCTCCCAAATGCTATTAAGTAGCCCTTTTGGAATGATTAGCTTTTCTCATCTCCACGTCCCAAATGCATTTACTTTGTAATTTCCTTGTGCAGGAGAATAAATAAGAACATGTAATGAGAATACCTCAAGTTTTCTGGTACTGTTTAAAATGGAGTGACCTGGGTGAAACAGATTACTAGGTTTAATTCTCCCTGCGTAGGGGTCAGTTAGAAATGATTGGAGCTACATGCCATGCTGTCCACGTTCAAAATAAGTCCTGATGAATTTAGAAGGCTTTATTCCCAGAAAAAGGGGTATAAGATTTCATCTCTGAATAACTAAGGTCTTTATCGGTGGCTCATGTTATAAGAAAGTGGAACATTAATACCAAGTGCCAATGCTTTTGAAATTAAATTTGCTGTTCTTTCAATAAAGGGGAACAGAAGTTTGATGAAGTAGGTATTTTCTGGTTTGGTGGACCTCTGAGCTGCTTCTTTTTATGAAATATGGGTAGTCCTCAACTTACGGCCACAACTGAGCCCAAAATTTATGTTGCTAAGCCGCAGAGTTATTAAGTGAGTTTGGAACCTTCCTTGCCACATTGGTTAAGTGCAGTAGTTAAGTTAGTAACATGGTTGTTAAGTGAATCTGGCTTCTCCATTGCTGATCAGAAGGTCGCAAAGGGGAGGGAATCAAATGACACCGGGACACTGCAACCGTCATAAATATGAGTCAGTTGTTGCCAAGCATCCGAATTTGGATTGTGTGACCATGGGATGCCTCCATGGTCATAAGTGTGAAAAAAAGATCCCCCTTTTTTCAGTGCCGTTGTAATTTGGAACGGTCACTAAATGAACCATTGTAAGTCGAGGACTACCTGTAATTGTGCATGGGGATGGGTATTTTGCCTGTGTGTGTGTGTATGTGTGTATCTGTACTTTTTTTGAAAAAAATGTTTGGTGGAAGGTACATAAAATTGTGCTTTCTCTGATCAACCTCCTCTTTTCCCCCTCCTATAGGATCCAAAGTGTTTTAGTTAACTTTTCCTGTTCCTCCCTCCCCCACTTTCCCTTTTCTCTCTCTTCATTTCCTTGTCTCTGCCGTCCTAGTGGATATATGGTCAGTAGGATGCATTATGGGAGAAATGGTGCGCCATAAAATCCTCTTTCCAGGAAGGGACTGTATCCTTACGCCATTTGCAATTTTCATTGAATTATTTATTTCCCATCCCATCAAATACAGAATATACAAGAGGAACACAAAGCTAGAAGAAAAACAAAAAACAAAAAAACAAAACCCCGAATTGTAGAGGTGTGTGGAATTATTATTGGAGTCATCTGAGATCCAGAGATGATGGGGGGAAAAAAAAAGAGAAGCAAATATATGGCAAATATTGTCATGTCCAATTTTACTACTCTACCTTTATATGTGTTAACGCTTTTAAGAAAATAGCTGATGTGTTTCTTTAAGCTTTTTTTTATTATTATTATTACTTCCCCACTCCCTTTTTGGCTGATGTTTTCAACATTGTACTCCTTTTGACCTTTGTGGTAGCATCATAATCTTTTGCTTGCTAATGCATCGTTGGTTTGGGTCCACCTTCGCGTTGTATAGATTCAGAGATGGGTCAATACAACATTTATGCTGAATGTTTTGATTTATTCCTCTGTTGCCTAGAAATGTTCTTCAGCCCTTTCTGATGTAGTTACTCCGATTTTCAGAATGAGCTTTCCTTAGTGTGGCTGTTAATATTACTATTATTATGCATGCGGTTCTGTATTATGAACAAGACATTTTCTTTTGTCCATTTGAGCTTTGGTGATATTCTTTTGACCATCTCTCAAGATGGTGAAAGTAATATTGGAAAACGAAAATAATTAAAAGAAAAAGAAAAGTTTTATCTTAGCTGTGGGAGCATAGAATAAGAAATTCTATTAATAAGAGGGGAAAAAATGTATGTTTATTTCAACATTCTTTGTCTTAAAAGGAAACAAACATCTCATTGATAAAATTGGTGTTGAATCTCCTGACAGCTGGTATGATGGCCGGATAGGCATGAGTGTTCAGCAATTCTGGGTCATAAAAATATGGTGATTTGTCCAATATCTTGAGGCAAATTCTCCAGTCTTTCATATAGAGGAAGTAGGCTCTTATTGAATAATAGGAAGGCTGTATGATCTACATACATCAGCTTGCATTGAAAATCAGATGTAAAGATTTAACAGATGAATTGTCAGATAACCACACATCTGTAGAGATTTCCATTTTGCTTGAAAAAGCCATCTGGAGTGTTATCAGCAACGCCACAGGAACACCCCTAAATGAATCTTCTACTCATTACAATTGTAATCTATCTCAACTGGCCCACAAATTGTGATTTAAGCCCACACCTGGATCCACACATATTTCTGATATCTGTAAGATTTTCAGTGACATGGGGAATTTCATCCTGTGTGAAGCAACTGAGAGAAACATTACTTACTCTAGAATACTCTAGAGCAGTGATGGCTAACCTTTTTGCCATTGCCTGCCAGGAGTGGGGGGGGAGGGGGGGTCATGTGCACGTGTGCCCACATCCATAATTCTATGCACCCTGTGCATGTGTGCAACCCCCCTGCTCCCCCCCCCCCGCTCCTGGCACACAATGGCACGGTGGGCCCAGTAGGCCCGTTTTTCTCTCTCTCCCTGGGCTCCAGAGCCTTTCTAGGAGCCTTGTGATCTGTCCCCGTCCACACACACACACAAACACAGCCAGCCGAGGGTTAAGGAAGCACTTGGAACACACCCAGGTCTTTATCTCCAACTTGGCAGCGATATACACACCGTCTGCCAAGTGCTTTTATTTCCACAGAAAACAGAAAGATAATATACTCAGCGTCCAAAAGTCCAACAGAATTATTATTCCTCTCAGTAGTTCCGGATGAGGCTTTAGTGACTATCCAAGGTTTACTTTTGTTCATCACAGGGATCACTGGCCACCACCCTCTATTATATAGTCTCTGGGGTGTGGTCCAGTGACTCAGTTCTAATCCCTAGCACGCCTCCTGAGCTGCTGCAATCGTTTATCACGCCTTCGGAGGCGTGCGTCCAGGAATGATGTCTCTCCCTCGCTCTCATCCGAGCCACCTGTCTCCCTGCTAATCTCCTCTCCCTCGGCCAGCACCTGAGACAGTGCCAGAGGGGAGGGGCCTGGAGAGGGAGGCCTGGCTGACTCCTCTTCCTCATGCTCGGAGCTGTCTTCCTCCGATGGGACAGGCTCAGAGGGCGGGGCCACAACACCTTGGGAGGGTGAAAAATGGCCTTCCCCATCCCCGGAGGCCCTCCGGAGGCCAGAAATATCCCGTTTGCTGGCATCCGGTCCTGGAGCTGAGCTCACGTATCCACCGATATGTCTACGTGTGCCACCTGTGGAACCATGCCATAGGTTCGCCATCACGGCTCTAGAGTGTGTCCTGAAACATATAAAACTTTCATTCAGCTCTAAGTTTCTTTCTTTCTTTCTTTTTTTGCTATTTTGGCATGCTGGGTTTTTTTTTTTTTTTTTTGCCAAACTGACATTGAAATATGCTTTTGGGAAGTTGGCTACCCAGTCATACTTCTCAATAAATAAAAATCCAACATCACTCCTAAGGCATAAAATCATTTAATGTGTTTTATTTATTCACACAAGCAAATACAAACATGAATCATCGCTTGATCTGTTTTCATTTGCTAAATGTAAAAACGAATGGCTCCAAACATTTCCAATAGATTCAAAAATTAAAACATATTCTCCTGCAACCCCCCCCCCTATGAAAGAGGGAGATAACTAATTTTATCTATAACATAGAGACGCCACTCTGGATTGCTGCTACTACAGTTCAGATGCAGGGAAATATGTTTTAACCTTGAATACTCAATGGGATTTAGATTATACTTTCCATTGATTGATTTACTTTGCCCAAAAAATGATTCATCCAAACAGTTGGATTACTTAAAGGCAATATAAATGGTAGTTTAGTGAGATTTCAATTAAGAACATAGGAAAAGAGCAAGGAGTTAGATTTTGCCTTCCTTGTTGATTAAAGTCTTGTTCTAGATTTGAACTCCCTGCTTTTACATAAAAAGAAAATATAGCTGTTGCTTGGCCCATCTTTTAAAGCAGGGGTCCTCAAACATGGCAGCTTTAAAATTTGTGGACTTCAACTCCCAGAAGCATAGCTGGCTGGAAAATTCTGGGAGTTGAAGTCCACAAGTCTTAAAGCTGCCATGTTTGAAGACCTCTGTTTTAAAGAAATGTGTCATTGACTTGCATTGGATTAAAATGTTCCTTTGGCTGTATTTGTAAGCACAATTGTACCTATAAAGAGGAATTCACTTTTCATATATTTTAAAGAGTTTTTTTTTTGCAGTACATTTATTTGCAGATGTATGTCCCACTTTATTATAGTGACATTCAAATACCAAAGAAATATCTCTTCCAGAGCTTTCCCTACATATAATTCTGTACCATTGATGTTGTTTAAATGGCTAACAGGATTCAGTAGCAAAATAACCGCATTACCAAATAATGAAAAAGTATGTTCTCACACTTAGCAGTACAGATTTCCGCTAACCACGTGGCTTGTACTTTAAGCTGTTTGCCCATCTGGTGGGTTAAAGAGATAATGTCAGATTTTACTTTTGCAGGAACTAAATACTTTTACCCATAGATCAAGGTTTTACTTTGGCCCTATCACAGCATAAGACCCAGTACAGAATAAAGTGTATTTTTTCTCTCTCATTTTTTTTGTTAAGAAAGCAACAGGGCTTTGTTGTCTTGGAATAAAATAATAATAAAGAGAGAAATGTACTCATAAACTGGGGGGGGGGGGAAAGGCATTTGAAAACTTTGAAGATTTGTAGATAGGGTCAACAATAGCAAATGGAAAATATTTACAAACAGAAGGGGCAAAATCTTGATGGGGTGTTTTTTTTTTACTAGTTTTAAAAGAATAAAAAACCCTTTGTAAAGGCTCACATATCACAAAAAAGTGTCTGGTACTATTACAGTATGTCACTTCATAAAATCCATAATGTTGCAATCGTCTCATAAGTTGTATGTGAAAGTTACTATGTTCCATCTTAGGACTGATTTTAAAGTTCCTCCAGAACTAAATTTAACAAGTCAAATATCTATACCAGAAGTCTTCAAACTTGGCAGTTTTAAGACTTGTGGACTTCAGCTCCCTTGCTGGCTCAGGAATTCTGGGAGTTGAAGTCCACAAGTCATAAAAGGGCCATGGTTCCCCACCCTGATATAGAACAATTATGAATAACATGAACTAAACTAGGAAGGAAAGTACAGGCAATTACATATTTATTGAAATTAACTCTCCACTAAAAAACAAAATACTCATTTTACTCATCAGCACAAGTGTTGGTAGGAGCAAAACTTTGCTTAAAACAAAAGGAGATTCTTCCTACATAACTGCAAATTTCCAAGGAGAAATTTCCTGACAGTTAGAACAATTAATCAGTGGAACAACTTGCTTCCAGAAGTTGTGAATGCTCCAACACTGTAAGTTTTTAAGAAGAGACTGGATAACCATTTGTCTGAAGTGGTGTAGGGTTTCCAGCCTAAGCAGGAGGTTGGACTAGAAGACCTCCAAGATCCCTTCCAACTCTTGTTATTTTATTTTATTCCAACAGGCCCAGTAAGCAATGTCTTTTGACTTATGGAGATGTAAAGCGATGGTCATAGCTTCTGAATAGCCTGTGAATTTAACACCTCTTCCCTCTCAACTTCACAGAGATAGTCATCCTCACAAGCCAAAGTGATTTCACACTATTGCTAAGAATAAAATAAATGAAATTCAACATACCAGGCAAATTTAGATGTGAATGAACTCGAAATAATATGGCAACTACCTTACACCCTCTTTCTTCTTACATCCTAGCTTTATCTGTGGATTGGAATATAGATAACTCCACATTTAACAATTGTCCTGTTTATGACTGTTCAAACTTACAGTTATCCGATGATCGCTGTTTGTAAGCTTTGCAGCCAGTGCCTGACAAGCAAAGTTGATGGAGAAGCTGGAGTTAAGTCACAAATGATGGTCATGTGATGTTGTGCATAACAACTGTAGGCAATTCACTTAATGACTGCAGAGACACTGATGGCCCTATGAGACATTTATAAGTCTTATAGTCCAGTCAT